CCAGAATAACGAATACTGATCTACTATGCTTAGCATAAGTTGGATAAGCCATGAGCTTGGTTCCTATCAAAGTTTGATGAAAGGTATCCCTTATATGCATAAAAAACTGCAAGTCTGCCAAAATGATGAAAAGTTTATTGTTATCACAATTTTGCTTAGATTTATTCTAAACTTAGAATACCATTTTCACTACCGATCCCATGTTCAAAAGCTAGCTACAGTCAATCAATCCCATCCTTTTCAGATATCGTATTCTCGCTATTCTCCCCTTCCACCTCGACAGCATTCTCCACGACTACTGCCTATGAAAATTGGGACGATATTTTGTACAAATCGAAGCGAATCTCAAAATTGTCGATCAAGAAAAATGAGGATGTCAAGGATTTCACAGTGCTGGATGTAATTGAAAGAGCAGGTTGGTCTTATAACGTCTAGTGGATTCCGGTATAAGAATAGTACATGGCCTAGGGGATTTCGGTGCTTATCGAGCTTCACTGTGATCCACAAGAGGCTGAGTGGTTATCTATGCTCCGGTGAGCGCCATCCACTCTTTACCCCTTTAGAACCTCATAAGAGATTTGGCAGGGATAAGGCCTAGATACGCAATGAGACAAAAGAGAAGGAAATCTCAACTCTCCCCACTCTCAATTTTATCAGAGCACTCCATGGAACATTCGTTGGATCCTTGACTAATTCCGAATGGAGACTATACCAGGGTATTTGGAAACCACATGTTACTCTCTTGCAGTGACTAGTGCCACATGGCTGAACAACCCATTTCCTCAGTCTTCACAACTTCGAAGATTTCTAGATGAACAGATTTCTTTCCAGACTATCCCCTCGTCGACGTTGAGCTTCTGCTTAGACTTAATCAGCCTACAACATCTGAAGAGGACGCCTCAACTACCTCTGATATTACTCCCACTCCTGTGCTAGCAAGACAGTTTTTCAGGAATCAAGTTTACAGGGTATGTTGCTTCAATTGGAACCGCGTTAAAAATTTGAGCAAAAAACAAGGTAATAGTCTTTTGAAGTTCATAACAGAATATTCCCAAATATGTTCTCAACAGAACAGAGACCATTAGCAATTCTTTAAAAATCTCTTGGAAAAAATTTATTTTAATATAGTTACCTTTCTTCTAATAGTAAACACCACTTGGCCAAACTATCCCATCTGAGTGTTTAGATGAAAATCAAGAAAAAAATAGTTTAATTGAAAATCTTGAACTCTTCTTTTTTCAGAGGCTAACCTCATTCATGTCGATTTGTGGACATTCCCTGATTCGTTTCCGTCTGGAAACCGATCCATCCAATTCAATCGAATATCTACGAAAGGGATCGAATGTGCATCTGATCTATGCCCATGACAATGATTCACTACTTCAACAACAGCTAATCATACCAATTTTCTATGCAATCAATGCAGGTGAACAGATATTGATTTTATCGATTATTTTACAATTTTTGACTGTTTATCTAGCAAGAATTTTCCAGTGAAACATTCTTCATTTTCACCGTACCTATGGTCCTTACTCCCGATTGCAAAGAAGTTTGAAAAACTGAAAAACTTGTAGGTGGCGCACCTCCTTCGACTGTAACTCTGCGTATTGGATGGCGTGAAAAGCCCGTGATTGCACTTCAAACAGCATTCCATGTAGCTTTACCGAGAAACCATCGTTCTCAACTTCAAGTACTGAAATTAGGTAGGTTCAAACCTTTACGAATAGTTTTATATTCAATTGAATCGATTTATGTTTTGGAGCTGCCGAAATTTCTGCGACTAGTCCCGGAGGCGTGCGGTCGCGGCGCGACCGATGCATCACGAAGTGTCGCAACGCGACCGCGCGCCTCGCAGACTTTTCAGAAACTTTGTGCTGCTGAGTAATGTCTTTCGAAGGCAGCAAATTTGAGTAGAAAACTGCGAATAAAAAGAGATTCTATAAGTTTTCTAACCTATTTTTTCCAGACTTCGGCTTCAATGTTTCCACGCTTTCTCACGAAGAAATACAACATATTCTGTCGCAATACGCTCCTTATCTCTATGATACCCGACGATTGCAGCATCTTGTACTTGACCTGAGTTATAGCACGGTTAGTTTACATGACTGAAAATTTAGTGAAGTATAACCGGATGGGACAAATTTCGTCCCTTAAGCTATACATTGATTCAAGTCCCTTTGAACTTATGTCAGTTGTTTATTTATTTATGACCTTTTGTTTTCAGTTACACGCATCGGAATTGGAAACGCTCTACTCGATCATATCTAATGAATTACCTGGTACTCATCGGATTTCGGTTTATACTTCTGAATCACTGTTGAAGGCGGACTACGTCGCAAAGCAAAAACACACGAATCGAGTTGCGTGCTCATAGTCCATCTGTGTCCGTTCTAAAACATTACTATTGTGCAAATGTATGGATATTGTGATATATATGTATATACGAAATAAACATTTACTATTCAAAACGCGCATTAATGCAGTGGAATTACTTCCCAAAACGTCTTATTTTCGACGTCTCCATTGTTATATAAAGTTTCCGAAAAACGAGATGTTCTCGAGAAATATAACCTCTTGGCTTAACTTTTTGTCAATAAACTTAAGGGGAGATAAGTTGAGCCATAGAAAAACGTGAATATCAGAGCTATATTTCTATAAGTGAGTGGAAGATGTTTTCTACCACTCCGCAAACGATTTTCCGTAAGCTGAATACTACAAACTGAACCCTGCTTGTCAGACCTCTCGAGATGGCTAACTTGGTCAAATTCTACCTTCCGCAAAAGTTCAAATCACATCCCACTGATTTTCAATCGGTCAATGAGATCACGTGGAATAGTAGCCGGCATTTGCAGTCAATTCACCGATAGCTATCAAGGCTGTCCACTGATCTTTTCCACTAGAAGTCCTTCTTCAGTGCACTATCCTAAGCCTTCTTTCTCTTGAGAACCTATCGAGACTTCAGCTAGCGAACAAGGTGTGAGACGTGGATTCAAAGCCATCGTGTACTCCTGAAGAGAATAGATGTAAAGGATGACCTGCTTGTTCCTTGTGGACTGGGAATTGAACTGCATTCGATGGCATATACCATACTGGAGGGGTTCCGCAGAGAAAGCAACACCTTGTTCATGATCATAGTCGGGTTTCAGCGTCAAACGACATAGGTACGACTCCGAACGGAAGTACGTCGTATCGGTATCTCAGGGTGTTGAGTCGGAGCTTCTTTGTCTCAATTCAAGTGTGTTACCGGGCTTGATGACCGTACTCCACATTACGGGTGTAGAGCACCAAGCTGCACCATTACCATTACCATACCTTAACTTGTGTATCAAACCCTTGATCGATGCCGGCCCAGACCGACTATGCTGTCCATTCCTTTGAAATATGCAGATTGGTACTGCATTTGTTTAGGATAGTGTAAAAATTAACGTCTACATCAACTGGCTCCCAAAAGTCATTGTTTGGGTTCATTACGCACTCAGGACAACAGCGATTCCAAATGTATGTCCCATGCGTGGCGCGCTCTACAGCGGAACCTTTCCTTCTCGATAGATTTTTTTGCCCTGAATTTCGTCAGATTCCAGAAAATACCTAATTGTAGGTTCTATGGATGCAAGAACCCATAATTCACCGCTTTCTTGTTGAAATCCTTGGAATGCGACCCAGATCAGATCCGTGACTCCCAAATCGGCTTGACATTCTAGTTTTTGCGACCTCAAAAAACCGGCCATTCATATCAACGGCTGTCAGATCCCAATAGCAACATAAAATCTCCCGATGACAGCTTTTCTTTCGAACCCTTCCGATGGCGTCAGGAGTTCCACCCAACAAAGCGCTAAAGCCATAATCGTTGTCTTTTTGTAACCGGTGTGAATCATCCGTTTTTGCGAACGTAGAGATTAGTCGAATGGATGTGGTCGGGTTGCGTCATCAGTTAATCGCAACTGGATCCGTTCTTGCTTGTATATTAAGCAGCATAAGAACATGGAACTACCAGAAATCGCCGAAGATGACTAGTGCCGCAAAAAAATCCAGTAAAATAGGAGTACGGTTGGGGAGAATGGAATTTGTATTGAACTTCTATGTTCAATGTTCCCCAAATGGGAGGTGTGGAACGGGCAAATGTTCGGAAGAGTTGGTAGAGGCCCGCATTGTCGGCGTGGCTTACCAACAGTTTTCGAGAGCTACTCAACACTTGATGGAATTCAATCACCTTTAGATGCGCTAGCCTAGAGTCTTCCTGAAGATCACTGATCATTCTACTGTTCATCTCCCCTCTCGATGGCCGATCAGTGAAATATGCCGAACAGCTACAAACATAAGCCTCTGCTTCCACATTCAAGGATTCACGGTGGCACTTCATAAGAGGAAAAAACGTAAGAACGCTCATCCATAACGATGGAACTTCACCTCCACTGGATCCCTTGGGCTTCTTCCTAACATACAAATTTACTGAGTCACCGGTTAATTAGAATCGGAATTCCAATAGTACCAAATCCACGAAGTTCAGGATCGCTCCATGTTATAAATAGCATAGTAACGATATGTACTTACGGGATATTTAGATTCAAATAGATACAAGGCTATTCATAGTGTATCACTTTCGGCGCTATTTGTAAAATAGTACAGGTTATACAGCATAGTATACGGATAGCAACAGCGACAACGAACGATACATGGAATAATAAAGAAATATATAAAAAATAAAGCTGTAGAGATGGAAGGGCCATTTCAGACGGTCCAGTAGAGGGTCGATACGGGAATGATCGATTAATCTTGCCGTAGGCCTTTTATATGAGCGAGTAGATCAAAGATACTTTGGGTGGTGGCAGGTGATCTACGATCTTTGAAAGAGGATTTGGAAAAACTAGCTTTCAGATTTATTTAATCACATATGGTTGGGATGCGGAATGCACAGAGATGATTCAACACTCCTGGGATACGCCATGCATTCGACTCCCTTCAGAAATGCCTTGATCTTTCAATAGATAAAACCTAGCTACGTTATGGAGCTGGAGTTTGGTTTTCTTTCTTCCAGGAACGTTCGACTACAAATAATCGATATAAATAGGGTGTGGAAAATTCAGGTGAAGGTTGATACCACCGATATGATGAAGTGGACCTTCACTCTTACAGAATTTTCTCCTTTCAAGCTGAAGTGAATTTCGGTTACTCTATGAATTGTTCACTCCCGAAAGTATTCCCATTAACCCACGTATTGATTTCAATCTACTTCCAATTTATTTTTATTCGATTTTTATTTCTAATCGATGTAATTGCCGTTGTATAGAATTTGGTTGGTGTATCCCAATCAATGAAATCGATATCGGTTCGCGGATTTTCAATTGAAGTCAAGTCATCTGTGAAACGACGCCGATTAACGACTATACATGGCTTAAGTGGTCCGTGTTCGAAGACAGACAATCCCCAGACCAAGCCACCGCGACCAGTTCCTGTCGGGGGGAGATAGCCGCCCAGCACCACCGTTACACAATCTCCTTCCACATCATCGACAATCCAGCATGTTTCTATCTCTCAGCCTTGATTCGTACAAGGTTTTCGTTTCTGATTCGCTTTGTTTCCACGTCGTTTTGCAATAATATTATTAATACAGAAGAAGAAAATGGTTAACAGAAATAATTGCTCTTCTCATAAAATCATCGCAACTGTTCTGTAATTTTTTAGTTTAGGCTTGAAAAGGCGTTTCGCTGATCCTTTCTTCTAAGAATTAGTTTTTGAGAGGGATTTGAGTAGGTCAGCTCTCTATGAATGTTAACATTTACATCCAACTTGAGTTCATCAAATGGACCGCTCATTCCTGTTTCCCTACCTTTTAGCTCTTCCGATGGTCCTTGATACGGACCTGTTTGCTTCTCGTCATCATCACTTTAAAAAGATAAAGCCTATGGCGCCAATCAATCCTGTCTGAGGAATGCGCCCATATTCGACTTTCACTCAGAATTGAAGTGGCATCTTGAATGTGTATGTGGCCTATGCAATGTCTGCTGTGGCCATCCGCTGTACAAGTCAGCGTTTTTTCCTCTTAGCCTGGTACCGATCAACTGGAGAGATGGAAGGCTTGGTTGGCCTGGGCGGATATCGGTCCGGGATTCGAACCCGTGCCCACGCGTGTGGGGGTCACTTGCCACTGCACCACAACCCTTCATCATCTTTCTATGCACCAACCACTTTATATTACTGAAGATAATAACCCGTAATATTGAACGATTCCAACACTCTCATGACATTTTGACTGATTCTTTGGTATATATTCCGCTGGTATTTACATCTATAAGAAGTGTACAGGGGAAACTGAAGCAGCGGCGAGAGGCAGGCACATTCATCGTGACCCGCTTGTGTGAGAGGAACCTTTTATTTCGCTAGGGACCCTTAATCAGCAGCAGGAGTGCGGGAGAAGACAAAAATGAATGGTGGATGATCCTCGGGATACGCTTCAGAAGCTCAATTTTTTTGAGACGCCACAGTATTCCTGGGAAAGGTCTTATGCATGGTTAATCCTTCATGGGCTAAGAAGTGCTGATCACTTTGGAAGCTTCATTTCACTCTTTCCTCAGTGCTATGAACTTCCATTTCTTCACTCTTGAAACAGAGAACTGAAAACGGCGATCAAAATTTGTAAACTTACAGGTCTCTATGCAGAAACCTTGCTCTATCCGTCTTTAACGAATACTTCGTAGATGATATCCGCCTGAATCCGGTTTCCGTTTACGAGGATTTTGATATCGTAAACCAGTTTTTTCGATGCAGCATAGTAGCCAAAGCTTTTCTTTCCGATTCCATTTTCGTTCTATGCCGGATACGATAATGATGAATGCAATTTTTGAATGGATTTGCTTGCTTCATTTATTCCAAAGTGTTTGAAATAATCTGAACCTGAAATAAAAAATCTACAATTCCAAAAAATTAGATCGATTACACCGTATGGAATCCTATCGGTCTGAAATGGAAACTGTAATGGACATTTCGATTTTCTATTCATTTACTTTCCTAAAAACTTTGCGTTCGTCGTAAACGGCGAATCAACTAATGAGAACAGAAAGTGCAAAGATCGATAGCGTAGCGGTTTACGATCTCATAGCGAGAAACTCAGGTGTTAGTTCGATTCCATCATGTGTCAGAGTTATATACTATAGCTTGAAATCCCAACAACAACGATTGCCTCCAAACCAAGTTTGAAGTTCTGTCGATCCATCTACTGGTTACAGTAACCTATCCGTTTCAGTTCCCTACCTATTATCTTCCAGGACGTGTTCAGAGCTCTTGCAAAGGCGGATATCATCAAAAATGGAGCGCGTTTGCTGTAAATGGAGTGCAAGCTAACAGCTAACTCACGTGCTCTGCAGCGACTGAAATCTCGTCCGAGTACCCTCTCATCACTACATTTTGTGCAGCCTCAAAATGTTCATAGTTCACTAATGGGCTCATATCCAGGGATTTCTGTGGATTCACTCGTTTTTCTTTCCAGCGATGATGAACTGTTCTGCACCAAACACTTTCGCCCTGTAACCCATTAATCGCGGATTGTGCCTTCAACAAAAAACGTACTTTAGTATCCCATCTCAACGGAGACTTTAAGAACAGCCAATTGTACGGAAGAAGAACTTCTCTATTCCAGTTTTCAATGTCGAAATGAGAACGACATCGGCCAAGTGGTCGACGGCCTATTATTTTCTGAGGACAATCCCGCCGATCGAGTGTTACCAAAACCTAATTTCGAACACTTTCCACAGCTTTCTCATCTCGCCGATCTTGTCCTCGGTCTACCGTCATATTTCATTTTGTATCAACATTTTTCCAAGTGGAATCTAAACGAGTAGAAAAGAAAGAAGAAGTTAGGTACATATAGAAAGGGCTCTAAGAAATGGAGGAAATATTATTAAAAAACTATTATTTCGTTCGAATGCTCACTCTCAGAAACCAAATTTACTGGTCTTTCAAATCGAAAATCTTCAAAGAAGCTTGACTCTGTTCATCTCAAATCCGAATTGCTCGATTGCTCGCATTCGTTCGATGAGTTTATTTATTTATGTGCTCTTTCATCCATTCTTATATAGAGGATGGTACAAATGGAATGCCTTCGCGCCTAACAGCTCGCAACTTCTTTGAGTGCTCAAACGGTTAGACTGTAACTCTCCCAAAATAACGCGATGCTCAGCCTCTTCCAATCAACTATGATAATTTTGTGCAGCTGAAGTATACATGGCGCAGCATTGAATCTACCAAGCGATTGATTTTTATCAATGATGAAAACTCGCGAGTTAATCGATGAATCCACTGCAGAAAGCAGATCAGAAAGAACTTTGATTACGTAAAAGCAGTTGAGTCGCTAGATACATATTTGAGCCGTGAACATTATCATCACTTTCTTTCCTCGAGCTCGATTGATTGGTTTGTACCAACCGCAGCGAATTGACAACGTTCACTAGTGAACTACTTCGAAATGATTTCAGAAAGTCTCAAAAAGGACTAAGGACAGAGTCTTTGGCAGTTATAGATCCCACTATGTGATCGTAGCACTTTTTCACTTTTCCGCATAGGACCTTTAAAAGCGTTGATTGAGGTGTAAATGGGAGAAAACCGGGCAATACGAGCTGATTTGCCTCAAACCCGTTTCTTAATACATTCAGAAAAAACCCGACTAGGTCACATTAATGCAGCGGTGGCGGACCTACTGTCCTCTGAACATCTTCCTAATGATGGGCGTTAATGCAAAATCCACGGAACATCTCTCCCACCCACAGCAACGATAAATCCGACAGGATTCGTTTTTCGTTGCATTGAATCGTTCCAAATAGGCCGACTGTACTTGTTTGGTTCTTTTCAATTTCATGGCACATTCCTCACAGCTGATCACTTTCCTCTTGGAATTTCTTAGGATACCTCCTAAGGGTTGATCATTTCCCACCTGGAGTTGATTATTGTTTATTGTTTTTGTTGGTATCATGATATCACTGAATTATTGAAGACATCAGTCCTTTATCTTTACCTTACTGGATCTATTATCCATTCTACCCTATAGGTTCACAAAACCTCATTTCCCTCGGGTTGGAGGAATCGCTGGTCAGCAACCCGACCTAAAACAAGACAAAAGAGAATATCTATTGGTAGTTCCCAGTGCACTAAGCGACCACCTCAATTCTGATCGAAATTTCATCCCGCAGCATCTTTCTAGGGAATCTGAAGAGTTGCGAATGCTCTATTGAAGATCTGTCCATTTTGAGCATCCGTAGCTACTGAGCCTCAAAATTCTTACAGAAGATAGGCAAATTTCGACATTTGTGGCCTATGACTTCACTGGAAAATCTGCTGTTGGGTTTAGCCCCGTTTTTTATCCATCAGCTAAGGGCCATGACGAATGACCCGCTCATTCTGTGATTGATCAGCCCTTGTCGAATACGATTCCACCAGTTCGGGCATAGGAACAGGATTTTGTGAAGTTATTCTCCAATCACCCAATTGGGACAGCCAACTTGCTTTGGTACGAGCTAGGAATATTCTAGGTTTCCTCCTTCAGCTACTCTTGTATTCCACTTTTTGCTTGTTTTGATCATATTTATCATTTGCTATACAAATAACAACAAGAATTATAGACTATTACCATAGATTTTTGGTGTGTTGTCTTTTTATAAATCAAGTTTTATAGAAGCGAATTTTTGAAAAAGATGTTTTCCAATTGAATAAATAAATAAGGGATAAATAAATAAATCAATTGTAAATCATGCATTTTTGGCAGTTTCTTTATTGCCTCTAGTCGTCAAATTTTGCTTCCATTACTCGATTTATTCATGCTTCTATATTCATTCATTATTTTTGGAAATGAACTTCGGGCTAACTGTAATCGTTCTTGTCCAAATGAAACAGAAATTAAAATAAACGAGTAAATGAAAAAAGAGCCAGAAATCAGTCTCACCCAATTCCGTTATTCATTTCCGTGAAGTAATAAGTCTCAGCAACTTTGCGCCATGCCATGCCTGGTTGGATCATCTTATTGGGACGATTGCCAGACATCGTCATTTAGTTAACTAGATCCTATAAAATACTTTTATTCATTCGTTTGCGGAATCGCTTTTGAGACTCGAGGAACTGGATCGGATCATTTTGTATGACATCAATGATAATCCGTTCAAATCAATGAGAAACCTGTGCCTGCCAACCAGCCTGCCACATATTTGCACCGTTCATTCATTCCACGAAAAACTTCAATTAAGGCTGTTTCTCAGATAAGAAAACCCCCAAATTTTGAGTGGGATGTCTTCAAAATAGACGCATTCCAGAGTAATCATTAATACAAGCATTTCCTCCTAATGTTTTTACATCCATAAAGTTCCAAATTTCAAAATATTACAGAGCTCTAAAGGAAAAATACTTTCCAAACTACTTTAAACTAGTTATACAAAAGTTTAAAAAAGCTCATTTAGCTGAACTCACCTTTTTGTATAAAAGTAACAGGAAACTGGGAAACTGGCTACAATGGAGCAAGCGGGAGCAGGGTATCATTAAGGGGTGTCCACGACGTTCAAATCAATGATTACGAGAGATCAAGTTTCTGTGAAGAGTAATGAAAACTCGTAAATGCTGATGGAAAAAGTAGTACTGTATTACCAACTTAACGGTAATCGCCTCTCTATTCATCTGTTTCTCTATCCTGTTATTCACGTTCCTCCTCCTCATCCAAATGGGAACTGCTGCTTTTGAACTTTTTTTTTCTTTTGGATTTCAAGTTCCAGGTTCGAGTTTTCTGTTTCAGTTTCTGTAATCGAATTTAAATAATTAAGAACTTTACTACTGATCTATCTTTACATCAACTTTCTGGGCACCTAATAAAGGACTAGTGCTATGGAAGTTATCTATGTCTCCAATGCTCACAGGTGAATTCCCATTCAAGGATTCGTGAGAGAGACTGGGAATAACCAATGAAAAAAAGGAAATTCAAAAAGATAAAATAATAAATGTAGGAAGAATAATAGACTTACATAAATTACGGCTGATCTATCATCGTTTTGACCATGACAAGTCCATTCTACTATGTGGGTCACCTCATAGTATTGATGATTACTTTAGAGGCTCCTCCCCTCCCGGCAAAGCGACATCCTCGCCGTGCCTTCAATGTGTCAATGAAGTTTTTACATGTTATACAGTACAATTTTAGAAATAATGTCTTCGAACCTCTCATTCTTTTCCTCTACTTCGGTAGAAGGCTCACAACCTTGGGCACTCGACTTCCTGACAGGAATTCTCTATTTGGGCAGAACTGGGTTACTTTTCCAATGTTGTACACCTTTTTTAGTGGAGACTTCAGACTCCTACACCCCGTGTGTCCCTTTTCCGATTTTTTAGCTCGTTTTCTGATTTTACTCGACACCGTTTTAATTTAACGCCAGCACCCTCGAAGAGCTGTTTCTTTTGCTAGATTTCCGATTTGTAAGTAGTTAGGTTGATTAATGACAGCAGCGCTTATACATCAGTGATGAATCTGTATTAGTATCCATTCATTTGGCGCAACCAAACTACAATCCAAGGCAACAAGCCTACGACGCGAGCGGTTGCGATGCGACACCATCAATTGGCTGGCGTAAAGGCTCCCGATCCCTATCTATTCGAGTATTTTTTGACCAGAACTCTTTATGTTTTTTTGTCACACATTTTCGCATCATTTCTTCCCTGTTCTTATTGGCGTTTGATCCAATTTTGTAATTTAGTCGATTTCAGCATACAACCGTGTATCATCGGTTACGTTCGCCGTCGAGAAATCCGTGGTGCTCTGTGGGTTAGGCGTTCGTCATGTTGCGCTTTGACTGTGTAGAGCAACCGATTTCCCGTTTTTTCTACAACTATGGCCGATATTTGGCCAAGAATCCGTTACCATTCATCGTATTCCCGGTGCTATTCACATTAGCTATGGCAGTAGGTGAGTATTTGAACTTTTTAGATGAGTTTTATTGAAATTGGAAGGAACTTATGTTCATATCCCTTGGAGGGCGATCGGTTTCACAAGCGTAATCCTCGGAAGGCACAAGTAGAGGTTCGATCTCGTCCGACTTTGGAGTTTGCTCATATGTAGTAACCTTCGAGTACAGTAAAGTCCTGCAAACGCACCAACGAGACCCTTTACTAATTTCTGCGCAGGGCTCCGCTCACTATTGGCGCAGAGCTGGGGGCGGGGCGATGCCTCCGTGGGCGTGGCTTCCCACATTAGCTCTTCCAAATTTGACGTTCAGGATTTCTTCACATGCAACCAAACACGGATGCGATTTACCTTTTCACACCGGTCGGAGCTCAGAGTAAAGTCGAAAGGCAGGCGATTCACGAGAAATGGCCTCTCAGCTATGACAACTATGTCGCTGGCCGTGCGGTCACACAAAATCGAGAAGTTCAAGTGAGAATAAATCTTCATCTTCCTTTACGACCTCTGAATACTCTCGAAGTTGATCCTTTACAGGTAATCGCCTTGGCCAGAGATGACGGTAATATCCTCGAGCATCATTACGCTGAAGCAGTCTTCCGGCTGGATCGATATATTCAAAAACGGTTTGTCTTTTCAAGTGTCTTTTTCTTAATAACCTTGTTATCCCCACCCACCTGCTCATACTCAGCCTTGCTGTCGCTAATTGCCGCTCACTATCGCGCACTGCCGCTTGATGCCGCTCGCTCTTTTAAACATTTCCTATTTCCTTCTAGCTTATAACCTTCCATCTTTCTACGAATTTTCCTTTTGATGCCTATGAAAAATTTGTTTTTCTTTCAGAGTACGCGTCCTCTATAAACACCGCTACTACTCATATCACGATTTATGTCTTCAGTATAAAAGTGAGTCTTCAGGTTGTATGTCAAGCGGGAGCAGATGATAAGCTTAGTTTTTCAAAAAAAAA